TGGCTCCAATAAAGCAAAATCGCTCAAACGTTTATTGACGGATTTATTTTCAACCTCTGCGCTATTAATCAAAAAAATCCTACCTTCATCATGGACTTTCCATAAAATCATACATAAATTTGTGTAAAGATGGTACTAAAAGTGAATTCGAACAGTTAAAACATAATTTAATGGAACCTGAGTAGAGCCTGGGTACTTTTCGTTACTTACACATTGAACTAAAAGCTATCGGGGAGTGATCGAAGTGACTCAAAAGGGCATCACCTCGGCACCCCTGTTTTTCTCCCTTCATCTGGGTTTTTGCGTCGATCGTTTCGCGCTTTTTATAGCTAATAATTGCTATTCGATCAAAGCCGGTTACCGTAAGTTTGGCATCATTTATAACCTTTTCGGTGGGGCGCAACGCATCTGACAACTGTGATGACCATTATTCAGACGGCTACGCCAACAACGACGGAGACGGCAGAAGCTGAAATCTGCCGCTGACGGATCGTTGACGCAAAGCGGCCCAGTAATTAGGGCAATTATGAGTTCGGAGGGAAAGAGTTAACGATTTGCTGTTGATGGCTTTAGAATGGTATCGGCCCATGTGTGAAAATTCTGGCGCTGACTAGTCTGAGAGCCAATCTAGGAAATCCAGTAGTTCTAAAGACTGTTGGTTAAGATGCTGATGTTCGAAACATAAGATAAGGGAGGATGGTGAAATAGGAATGTATCTTACAAGTCTCGAAGGGTTAGAAGGCCTTTACCACTCCCAAAAACCCTTAACGCCATCTTCGCCTTTAAGTCATGTTTTGTCACCCTCATTTCTTATCAGAGCTGTATTTCGTAATGTACCACGAAGGCCTTGAGTTGTGAGCAGAACGTCCAGAGTGAAATGTGCTCGAACCCACACCCAGGTCCCCACGACCTTTGAGAAGCTTGCGTTACCATTGAATGTCAAACAAACTGGTAGCCATAAGTGATATTCAGTACTATTTCCCCCTACTAATCCACCTTGTGCAGGCCAGCAATACTCTTTTTATCTACAATACGTTTGTACTAGGACCAGCCCTCAGTGGCTAGAGCGGATCATTCTTCAGGGATGAGGATATTAGCGATTCAATGCTGTGAGGCTCTTTATATAATTTGGACATTGACTTTTGACTACCGTTCTACCCCTGCTAATTAGTCACCACTTCCGGAGGCTAAGAAATGCTGAACTTCTCTGTTGAACACTGTTGAAGACATCGGTTTGGAACAACCGCCCTCACAATCTGAGCCCGTTTTCGGCAACTTCAGAAACGACCTCTGAATCTCCACTGCGCTTGCCGAGTGCATACAAGAAGCACGATCTGTCACCGTCCTATCTATTCAGCAAGTACATTATGAGAAAAAGAGAAGACGCTTGTTCGAAGAAGTTGAGAGCTTAATTACAAGCTAAGTACCAATTTTGTGGTAGTACAGGAAATACTGACTCTGGCTCCTCGAAAGTAGATGGCTCACTTCAGAAGCCGCTCGACTTACAATTTGAGCGGCTTCTGAAACGTCCCTTGGACCGCTATTGCGCTTGTTGAGTTCAAGGTGCCCGAGCAGTCGTCGTTCTTTCGGAGCACCAGCATATGATGACAGAATGAGGAAAGAAAAATGCTCAGAAGCGCTCCAATGAGGTTGAGAGCAATACTAGACGGACCAAGATAGTACGCGACGAAAGGTCGATTAGGACAAACACGACGCAATGAATCTACTAATCGATTTTACCCATTCGACAAATTCTTCCCATAAGAAATAGCTTCTGCCAATAGGGAGCCGAGCGACATGCTACAGTTTATCGATGAGTCAGAGCTTCTAGACTGCCCCCTTCATGTTACGGTCAGTTGATGAAAGCAGTTCGATGTACACCGGGAACTTTTGAGGTCTCTTGGCAGTTCCTAGACAATTCATTGCTGCTTGCATGATTTCGAAGTCCTCCGGTAATCTGGACTTTCATAATTCGATTACTTCTGAAGTTTTGGACAGCACCTTTAAAACAAGGTGACCCGGCAGTTTCGAAGAATACAATCAACTTACTCCAATCATACCGTCCATCTGAAGCTGGTCCAGTTCACATGTGCTGGCACTTTCTCAACACCGTGCAATCGCGTTCCCACGTAATAAACGACTAATGAATGAGAGGTGAGTAGCCCAGCCGCCTACATCTTCACCCGTTCGAATTTGCTGTTTTTTTTGTCCCTCTCGCTGGTGTAGGGAGCGGCACCGATCCAATTTGGAAGAGGACTCTGAGCCAAGTCAGTCTCAAAATTTATATGTCTCACTCGACCTTTATTGTATAATTTTTCAACCCAAATGACAGATTTTTCGGCTTTCTAAGTGTTGAGAATCATGGTCCGAGTGAGAACTTAAACTTGGATCCTCGTGCAAAACGAACTTGTGTAACCTAGGGGGCTATCAAAGAAAAACGGCTTTAGGAGGGACGACTTTACTGCAAATGCCAAAAAGGAGTTATGACATAAATAGATGAGTAAAATGGCGACGGCTTGGAAGTTAATCAGCTCGATCACTACTGCTTGAAAGACCAAGGCCCAAGCATTAACAGTCAGAACTATTGCAGGCAAATCATTTTCCCTGTTCGAATACTCGTAAATAATAAGTGTTTTCTCCTCTTAAAGATGATCTGAGATAAACTCCAAGTTTTGCCCCCTCCCCCATCCGTACTCAGGGCAGTTGGGAAAAAATAGTCCCACTCAAAATTGCTTCTTTCAGGGCATGCTGAAAGTTAAAAGAAGCTTGAAACATTGCCGAATGAGAGCATTGAACTCTGTCGATTCAGGTTGTTTATTTCTAAAAGAACCCATTTTCGAAATACCATTGAGAAGTAGGAATTAGTGGCTGGGTGATGACAGGGAAGACTCGAAGATGTGTGGGAAGTCCCAAGAGCATGGAATGCATCAAAAAGTCTATGCAGTAGTCTCATATGAACTACTGGTCTAACGAACTCAAGGAGTAGTACCAAGCAATCAATAACGGTTCTCTGGAGATCCTGTGGCGATCGATCGGCTTCGACAGTATACAGCAAAGGGTCGTGTGAAATTATGGACGAGAAAATCGTTGGAAATTCACACGGAATTCAAACACTGTCGAACTCATCACCACGAAAGCCTCACTCACAGGGAATCTAGAATTGAAGGGTTATGATGGTCATGTTAACATCAGAGCAATTGAAAGGCAATTTCACGGGTTCGAGTAGATAGGGCATTGGAAGAGGTTCGCGGTTGTTTCCGAAAGATGTGTGTACAGTCATGCAAATAGCCCCAGCCTAGCTCAAGGTGAAAGAGTAGCTCCTGCGACGTTATGCCTACGTGCTGGATCACTGGATCACTGGGTCACTTGACAGTAGTGTTAAAAGCTCATGGGCCGCAACCTCAAGGAGCTCTAAGAAAAGAAACGACCGAGAAAAACTCTACCAAAGCCAAGTTCATGGCAGAAAATGCCATAGATAGGAGGAAACGTCAACGATTAGCAAGAACAGCGGATCGGATCCTACGACGGCGCGGATCAGCGCTCAAAAGAAGAAAAATGAGATTAGGGATTTCCGGAGGAAGCGGCT